GCCCCACCCCCCCCCCCCCCTTCCCCAATCTCTCCAATTCCTGAATCCCCAACAATCCTCAAACTCCTAATCTCCAAAAGGCCAGGCCGGTAACGTACTTGTAACGCCTCTGGTGTTCCAGGTGTCCATGGGCGACGCCGATTGCTTACCATCAGGTGATCCGTCTGCCCGTTTATATGCCATAAAAAGAAATTAAGAACAATAATTTAGGCCGTGCAGAAATCGCGGATGCCCGCGCAGCATGCTGTTTTATGTAATCTTATAGATCAGCGCTGCATGCAGCGGGTCGCCCGTCGCACGCTGATCTATGAGACATACGATAACGCAGCGCATGGACTAACAACTTCTATAACAATTTGGGCGGTAGCCCCTCTCCTCACTCCCTCCCGCCTCACACAGTCGGGAGCAGACATTTGATGATTTTCCCCCCTTAAAAAAAAGCCATCTGAATTACATTCCAATTTTATCGCGAATCTATTTCGCATTAAGTTTTAGGTAACAATACCCACTTCATCGTTATCAACAACATATAGATAGCTCTATGATCTAAAATTAACTGACTGCCTCGTCGACCAAGTGGTCGCAAGTGCGACTGCCGGGCAAAGGGTCTCGGGTTCGATTACCGGGTCGGGAAAAGTATTACTAAGTTTTTTAAAAATTCTCAGAAGTAGCACAGAGTCTGGAATCATGCTCGGTATTTGGCATTAGACTCACCCTCGATTACATGGGATTCATGATATAAATAGTAAAAAGTGGGTGTTACGTTGTACAGTGGCATAATGTACACCTCTGCCTACCCCTTCGGCGATGAAGGCATAATGTTGTAATGTCAAGATCTAAAATTATACCCTAGATGACGTGGCATTCGTATTAATTCCTGATCTTCACAGATCCAGCAGAAGGGGACAAAGGAGAAGAAATCCTGGTGGCCACGACAGACCTGGAGCCAGAACCTGAAGAGATCCAGTTCACGGAGACTTCATATACCAGTGCTTCCTTCGAGTCCCTGCCTCCGTTACCCATCGAAGGTACCTACATAAAGAAACCATACATTTAATCTATAATTTCCATCTTCAGGTGTATTCCTAATTAATTTACTGTTGGTTCGGTTCACATCCCCAATAGTTCAATAGGGTAGTTGCCTAAATTTTACTTTAATGTCCATCTGGTAGATTAATTTAAAACATTAGACACGTATTTTTTTTCTCACAAAATTAAGTAAATTCTTCGACGATATTTACACGAACGCTTTAATTACTGCTTGGGAGTTTATGTATTAAAATCGAAATCCAGAAAGGCAATCCTTGACATTACTTTTAACAAGTTCGACGTAAAGAGTTGGAGATGATTTCAACGCTTCCGTGGTTTTAATCGGAATATTTAAAAAAAAAAATTCAAATTACTAGGCAACGTTCAAATTTGAATTAATGTGTCCATTCGCATTACTTAGATTATATTCAGCACAACGTGACTTATTTCTACCTGTCTCGTCATTAATTATATTCCAGGTAGTTTTTTTCTTATTTTCTGCTGTCTTCAATTTATTGGTAAATTGGTAATGCAAAGTGCTCCCCTCCACTGTCGACGCCGAATAACGTAATTTGACACATCTGTCAAGGACTCAAGGCCAACGTGGGTGGGCTCTCGGGATATCGCCGCGGCGCATTAAAATGACGATATCTCCAAAATATTGTATGAAAGATGTATATTAAGTTTATGTGTTCATAATCTGTAGTTTATAAGCTACATCGTGAATATAATTTATGATGATTTTATTAAACTGATATTTTGTAATTCTAAGGTAAAAGATAGAGAAAGTCATTGAAAGAAAATATTTTGCATGGTATTAAAAAAATAATCAATTTTCTCAAAATATTTTTATTTTATTTACAAAAGAATATACAGTTTAATCATAATACATTAAAAAAAACACCCTTTCATAGTATTTTTTTACAATACAAGCGTAACAAGCACTTGCCTCGTTTCTGCTACCTGAGCGCAACACAAAAAAAAGGGTCATGTTTATACTTCAATTCTGAGAACACTGTGGGCCAAGTGGCAAAAAACAAACACTCATTCTGTAGTTGGGTTCGTAATCTTACTACAAACAAAGATTTAGCTGTTAGACATGAATACTTTACAAGAATCGAACAAAAACCTAAGCACTTGAAAATAAGCACTAAAAAACGTGCTCCCAAACTTTGCATCAAAGAGCAAATTTTGTTAGAAGTTTTTCTAATATTAATTTATATTCTACAATTTGATAATATTTACTCATCAAAAAATATAATCATTAAGCATACTACATATCAAAATCATTTAAAAATTAAAATCTAAAACAAACAATTTCTCTACAAAATGTAGCAAGGACATAGTAAGTAAGCTAAAAAAGTATGGATACGCCCAATAGGTACTGTCTGTCCCTGTCACACCTCAACCTTTTAATAAGCAGAGATAAAATTAAGTGAAATAAAAATTTTGTTTTTAACGTAAACAGAAAAGCATTTTTAGGTAAGTGTACAACTAAAAATTTCAAACAATGTATAAACGGTAATTCTGAAATTAGTTAAGATTTACAGATCGAAAACGAACAAAGGTGTGGTATATATTATGTACATATTGATTTATACACATAAAGATAGATAAATAAAATATATAGCTGTAATGTAATTTAATAATTTAATACTTATAAATACTTATACTTTATATTTTAAAAATACTTAAATAATAAATTATGTATGTAAAGTAATAAAACATGGGTCAAAGCATACGGATTTGCTGCAACCAACACAATACGTGTGCACCCGTTTTTTGCACACCTTGCACAGCCGCCGCTTGCGATAGCTGTTTTGCAACGGGTACTCAGCCAAGCGGTGGGTGAGGTCGGCAGGTCTATTCTGTGTGGTTACAGCGGATGGAAGCGGAAGTAATGGAGCGGTGGAAGAGTGTTTTGAAAGGAGAGATTTAACGAGAGTGATACGGAAATTGCGATGTGAAAGAGAAGACGAGTGGTGATGGATTATATACGAATTTAAAATAGATACATTTAATAACCTTCTGAATAATTTTTTATACCACACCCTTGTTCGCTTTCTTTCTATGGGGTACATGGCAAGCATCTGGTCCTTTTTGTCAACCCCACCCATCATGATATTGTAATCCAATATCAGGATGGGTTTGGTTGACTGTTGGACTTGCCTAACCGCACTGCCATGGTATGTTGAGATCATAGCGACTCTATTAGTATCCCTCCATACCATGACATCGACGTCTCCCGAGGTCAGACCAGTGATTTGCCCCTTGCGCATGTTCCCCTTTGTGAGATCATTAAGGGCCTGTGGAACAAACTGGCGATTTGTCCGCAGGGTCCCTACGCAATCAATTCCAGAAGCCTTGAGACGCCGAGCAAGACTTGGAGAATTGTAAAAGTTGTCCATCCACAACGTGCGTCCTTTGTTCTCAAGACCATGTGTAAGTCTTAAGACAATTGAAGGCGTGGATGCGTTTAATTGCTCTTCCGGCTGCTGCTGTGGGGATCTCTTATGAGCGTGAATTTCAAACCTCCACAATTAACCCGTTTGAGATTCACAAATCTCATAAGATTTTATCCCCACAACAGCAGCTTTATTGGGAACTAACTGGTTAATATCTAACCAACCTTTCCACTGCAGAAGAGATTCGTCCAAAGCTATATTTTGAGCTAATTTATACATTGTTTGAAATTTCTGGTTGAGGTGTTCCAGTACTGGCATAATTTTGAATAATTTGGCCAAAACAGCCAGTTCTGACGCTCTCATTTCTTCATTATTTCTGAATTGTAAAAATCTATTCAGAAGTATAAATCTGTTTATCCTCATATGAGCGCCAAAACCGGGGGTGCAGAATATGTCAGCAGTGGTATTCCAGTATTCATCGAATCTGGATTTAACAACAACCCCCATCGCAATTATAATACCGAAGTATATATATAATTCGTCCGCTGTTGTATCATGCCACTGGTTAATGCGGCTATTGGGATGAAGGCTGTTGTTATTAATCATTTCCTGTGCCACCCGCTGAGCATATCTGTTAGTTTCCGAGGCAATGTACTCCATAAATTGACGATCCCATATAGACACGAATATCTCATATGGTTCGACATGTGGAATTGTTGGACCATTGCTTTCGGAAAATTCCGATTCTGGTGGAATTTGAGGATTTGGAAACGTTTTCCAATCAAATTGATAATAGCTATTTGGCTGGTGCGTCTCCGCCGAAGCAACATCTACCACAGCAGACGATGTGCTTGCCGTAGCGGGCGTATTATTGTGTGCGGAACTTTGTGGAGGCACATCATCCTCGTCTATTGGTGTCTCCAGCGTACTTCGGAAAACCCTTGGAATTAAGGGAGACACCACCTCATCATCGCTTTCGTCAGAGCTTGCATCGCTTCCTGTAACAAATAATTAATAGGCTTAGATAATTGGTCTACGCCAAACTGTGTACAAGGTGTGGTAAAGATCAAAAATGTCAACCAAGCTGAAACTAGTTGCTACATACCATGATGTAGTGCGAAGTCAATATCGTTATCATTTAAGTTCTGACGAAAGCGAGGACAAGAACGCACCATCGGTGACCGAGATGGCGTGCTCAGTAACTGGCCACATTCCACAATCCTGAAATAAAAAGTTTTGTAGTTGGTACCCATCTTTTTAGAGATAAGAAAAAAAGGAATCTGGGTACTTACATTGCCGGCGAGGGCGGCATCTCTAAAACGGGAGATGGGCCGGATGGCGTGCTTAGGCCTGACAGGCTACATTCCACAAACCTAAAACAAAAAAAATGTAGTTGTTAACCATCTCTTTAGAGATAAGAAGAAAAACGAACCTAGGTACTTACATTGCCGGCGAGGGCGGCATCACTAAAACGGGAGATTGGCTCTCACGAGACACCATCGTTGATGAGCCGGATGGCGTGCACGGGGCTGAAGCGGTCGGTGCGGGTGTGGGAGCCGTTTGAGGTCTAGACCTAAAAACATGATTTATTTTTAATTATACTTGCAAGTAATGAAAGTAGTACGTATTCACAATTATCATACATATAAAACTACTTACGGTTGCCACACGCGCATTCGCCTGGGATGAAGTGGAGTTTCAAGACCCTCACCGATCGGCATCTCAGTAATGTCGCGAATAATAAGCCTAAAATTAAATATATACATAAAGTTCATCAGCATGGGGCATCATTTGTAATAAATATATACATCAAGTTATTTCGAAATACGATAAGAGCAAAAAATTGTTAGTAAAATAAAAAGCTAACTCGTCAATAGACAGGTCACCTGTTGGGGCCTTGGGGTCTAGCGCGGCTACCACGACCACCCCGACAACCAGGACTACCCCGACCACCACGACCGCCACTACCACCAGTAACACCACCACCTCGTGAGACCTCCACCACTGCTGGCACCGGCAGTCGAACCCGCACACCTCTACCTCGTCGCAGTCCACGAGTACGAGCACCATGTGTCATACTAGTAAATTATATAAAAATGCAAATAAACCAAAAAAGCACATGCACGTTTAAAAAAAATACCAATAAAAGATAAAAACAAAAATGCACGCAAGAAACAATATCTAATAAAATAACACAAAAAATATTACAATACTCAAAATAGAAATCAAAATCCACTCAAAAGTCTTATCCATACTTATCCAACATCGAACTAAAATGGCGATTTGCCGAGTACGATGACCTTGAGCCCGTCTGTCGACATGCCAGTAGGTGGCCGATTTATGTTGCGTATTTTAGTTTTATTCTTTAAGCAAAATTTTATCGAAGATATTCAAATTAAATGCTGTGTACGCATGCAGTTCGATGTATTATTGATGTTATTAATTACATTTGGCTGTTACAGTAGTATTTTAAATGCAAAACATCTCAAAATGTAATGCGGTGACGCGCGATATGGGTGACGATGTTTATAAACAGATGAATTTCTACCCTTAATCTTTGTCTGAAACACAAGTCATGAATAAAAAACTATTTATTACTTACCCTTCCATGATAGGTAAAAATTATATCGTCCAATTATACTTAAAACACCTTCAAACTATAAAAACACACGGGTCTTTAGCACAAACACAAGTACTACCAACGGCTCCGCATAGACTAAACACTACTCATGTTACTGGCGGGAATTTGTTTAACATGTGTTGGTATATTCTATCCTTGTCATATTCCCCGTATGTTTTGCGAGTTAGAGCAGTATAGCTACAGTTTCAACGCTTATTTTTGTATTTAAAATACGGCGGCAACTTTCGACCAGCAGCTGGCGTCTGACAGATGCGCGCGTTTTGAAATCGGCCAGGAGATGGTCGCTTGACAGTTGAGGGGATCATGCTTACAAACTAATTTAAACAATTTCGAATATTTGGTATAATAACTATCGAATATTTTCACTATGATTAAATGATTTAATACATATCTAGATAAGAAAAAAAATAAATTAAATTGAAATGCCGTGTGACGTCACAACGTGTAACGACCTCCCACTCCTAAACTTAACGCCATTTTATCTGAGTAAATTGTAAATTTATACGAGAAAATAAAAAAAATACGTGTCTAATATATTTTCATTGTCTAACTGACGGACTAAATAGATTTTTAATTTGTATACCCTGGCAACCAATTACCCTTAACGATCACAGTTGGACTCTCCTGGACTTCATCTACATTATAAGGAGTTTGCCATATTCTCCACTATTGGGACAACTAGAAATCGTTGTTCAAAAGTTTAGGATTTATCAGAGAGCGCTGCTGCCCAGTCTCTGACAAATATGTAGTCCCTTAGTCGGGTATACGACACCCGCGGGAAGAGTAGGGGTGGTAAAAAAAATATTCCACCGTCTCCGCTTCTTAAATAAGCTTCTAATGTTCATTAAATTCTTCTACGTGTTAAGAAACTCCTAATCTAAGATAGGTGACGATATTTTGGTATTTACCAACTTATAAGTAACACTTAACAATACATACAGGTAAGGTGCTCCCTTCCGCTTACTTATTCTCAGTTAAGAAATGGCTTTTTTTTAAGGGGGAAAATCATCGAATGACTTCACCCGCCTAAGTGAGGCGGAAGGGAGTGTCAGACTCTTACTGACTAAAAACCACCCCGTTCCTTCTCCTGCACTTAGAGCCGGAGCCCCGGTTACCCGTTAGGTTCTCCGCGACTACGAATGATTGATGAATAGGGCCAACACGCGCATTTCATCAATATAATCTGTTGCTTAGCAACGAATTTAGGTATTCAAGTGTTCGTACGTACGAGTAAGTTGGCTATAAAATAAAAAAGTAGATATTGAAGTAATATTTCAATACAAATTGGTTTCCAATTCATTGAAAGGGTGAGTTTACATTTAGTAATGATAAAATTATTCAAATTACTGTATTGTTAGTCTGTTTTTAGCTTTTTATTTGATTGTTATCATGTTTTGTTTTATTTTTTCTGGGTTAAAAGGTTAAGTATTGGAATTGTGACTTAATTAAGTTTGGTTTTAAGTTGATATTTTATTGAAATGTTATTTAAAGTTAATATCTAATGGAGTTTGTATACATCTAGTTTTGCTAGATAATAATTTATTTACGTAAATTGTGAATCGAATCAACAGCTGTTGTATAGATATTTAACAAAAATATATTAAATATGTAGGGCCGATTATTCCAACGCCAGATACATTTTAATTGAGGACTAACTTTGATTCGACAGTTCTTCCATATTAACTTTAAAAAACTTAAATTTCAAATGAAATTTAAATTTCATTGTACAGTTGGGTAATTGATCAAAAATAAATTATTTTACCTGTTCTATTGAACACTTTCATTAATTGATTTTCAGATAAACTTAATTTTAGTATTTTTCCAGCAAATTTTTGAGAAATAACTATGCTGTTTGACGCTAAAAAACGTGACGTCACAATACACAATCCCGTACAAAATGAATAGAAAACTGTCGTTTTTGACAGTTCAAAAAAGGTATTGAATTTGACTAGTTGGCAAGTACCTAATCTATTCATACTAAAGACTGTCAATATTAATAATTTATTACACAGTTAAGATTAGTCTTAACTGTGTGCAATATCTATGTCGCAGTGGGCGTAAATCACCATGTAGGTCACGCGAAATTCGCTTCGCTTGACATCTCGTGCGACATTTTTGCCTATTTGCCCTCTTTTTTTAAGGGGGAAAATCATCGTTTGACTTCTCCCGCCTCGAGGCGGGATGGAGTGTCAGACTCTTACTGACTAAAAACCACCCCGTTTCTATACTCATGCACTTCGAGCCGGAGCCTACCGGGGCACCGAATCGGCATCAGCCCTATTGGGCCCCATCCGTGGTGGTCTGATGGTTATTTGAGCCCCACGCGGAACGCGACGCGCCGTACGCTGGGGTCTGGTTCTGGTCGGACGGGGAGCCACCCATGCTCGCCGTCCGCAGGCCCGTGTTTACGGTGGCCGGAGATCGTACATTTGCCCCTACATCGTACATACATCGTTTTAAAAATATTGCTATCTTTTACTAAACTCCTCTAGATGACAAAGACAGCATGAAACTGAACTCTATTCTTCTTCCTTCACAGACTCGAAACCTAAAAAGAAAAAGAAGAAAAAGCTAGGGGTAAGATTTTTTAAAGTTTATAAATCCTTATTACGCTTTTATCCTCCAAGGAGGTAGGCAGACACATGAAATGTCAACAGCTTATTTCAATAGTTATGTTATAGACTGCCTCGTTGGCCGAGTTGTCGCAAGTGCGACTGCCGGACAAATGGTCTCGGGTTCGATTCCCGGGTCCGGCAAAGTATTAATGGGTTTTTAAAAATGCCCAGTTGTAGCACGGGGCCTGGTATTGTGTCCGGTATATGTCATTAGGCCCCCTATTACATGGGACTCATAACATGAAGACTAAAAAGTGGGTGTTACATTGTACAGCGGCATTAAGTGCCGTAATGTGCACCTCTGCCTACTCCTTCTGGGATAAAAGACGTGATTTTATGTCATGTTATAAAGTTCATGAAACGGGGTACGATTCTATTAACATGTTTCACATAAATATAGGCCTCATTATATTTATAAGTATCTAGCTGAGAATTTCTAAAAAATCTAAATATTCCAATCTTACTTTATCTAAGAATCTAACCCTTATTGTATGACAGTCTCATTCACAGCCACTCAGAGCAGTATTATCCCTAAGGCAAACTAGATTTCTTCTCCTCGAGGGAAGATATTTAAATCTTCTGATTCACTTCGTTGCGGGAACCAAGACAGTTATTCATGTCCCTGGGACGCACCGGACTTCAGTGTTCCGGTGTTTTCATGGTTGTATCTACTGTACATCCTGGCTTACAGGAGTTGCAGTGGTTATGGGAGGTTGTGGCGGGCTTGTCTATTAAAAAAAGGCGAACTAGACAAGTGCCTACCGCGAGCAGCTGTAGCCAAATGCCATTTAGCGCTTGTCTACGTGTAGAATAGAAAACCTAATTATATGGAATTGACGTAAATTTTGACACTTGTCGGTATCATCCCCATACGTTTAGTTTTCTACTCTCGCTGTAGACAAGCGCTAAATGGCTTTTGGCTACAGCTGCTGGTCACAGACAGGTAGGCGCCGAGAGACGCGCATGGATAACTGCCCATAGAGTGAAGGCGCCGCACAAATAAATAGAAGCGCCGCCAAATACCTAAATAGAGGCACCGCCTGATAAATAGAGGCGCCTATGAAGTACTTGCCTTGTGAGCTCTGTACGTTTACTTCGCCTCTGAAGCCACTAAACCAAAGAGTCAGTTCATTTATAAATACCAGTCCTTGGGCGGCGCTGATTTCTCTGCTTACCGAAATTCTTTTCCAATAGGAGAAAGAGTCGTCAATAGTGAAACATCGATCGAGTAGTGAAATGTTCCAGGTTTCTGAAGAATCACTATTACCTGGTTACTAGAATTCTTATTATCTTCCTTTCTATATAAGAGATAGTCGTGTTAGTTACACTAGTTTATAACACAAGAACGACTAAATTGATGGATGAAATTGGTGATGAAGTAGCTTAGAACCAGGAGATGGACATAGGGTACTTTATTTTACTTTTTACCGAAAACCACGAAAGGGGACGGGAAAAACGGGATTGCGCGTACGAAGTCGTGGGCAGAAACTAGTTTCTTATAATTAGGTTTTAGCTTTTCACAACTTAGTTGGAATTTGCACAGTCTCAACCTCGTCCTATGAACTTGAGAAGTACTTACGTCATCCATCGGGATATGTCCGTTCTCTAGAGAGAGATCTCCCAATGGGGGTTACTGTATTTTATTCAAAAGATGGCGCTAGTCTGAATCTCGACCTCTCGTTCTTCATCCAATAAGGTAGGTAGAGGTTAGCTAGTGTCACTACATTGGAAATTCAATTATTGACAGCTGCAGTGACTGATCAAAAAATTGCGCATTTCCTATATTTTCACCATCTGGTTCTGAAAGCTAAACGCTAGCCCGCATTCAGGGGATTTTGACGTAGTTCTGCTGAACTGTTTTCTATTTTTTATTATGTAAGTGACATTAGGATCTCTGATAAGTCACTGACAATATTAGCAGAAAGCTGCTGCCCATCTCTGTGGCTGGTTCATGTACAAACTATCCATTTCGATGAAGAGGCCTTCATTAAAAATCTTTTTAGTAAGCGCGCTCAACTAAAGACCAAAAAACAACCAATAATCATCTTCTAGTTTCATCATATCAGCCTATAAGTGGCCACTACTGAAAGACCTCTTCTCACACGTCTGTGTGACAAGTTTGAGCATTTATCACCATGCTTGCTCAATACGGGTTGGCGATTTCAAACTTATAATTAGAAATTATAAGCCCAGCTTTCTTCATGATATTTTCCTTCACCGTTTGTCAGTGGTGACTAAAAATCTTAGAAAATACTTATAAATCGTAATAAGTCACATTGGTACTTGCTGTTGGTAGGTTTCGAACCTTCATGTATGAGAAGCGGGCGTCTTAAACCTCTGGGCCATCGCGGCTAGTCTAGTAATGAAGTAAAGTTCTATTAAAATCCAAATTCTTTTTTATAGTTTCTGAATTAGAACCGAAACCAGTTGTGATACCGAAACCAGAACCGGAGAAGAAGAAGAAAGGAAAGAAAGGGAAGAAGGATAAGGAAGAGATACCGGATTTTGAAAAGGTAGGAGTTTGATATTGAGAATATACTATATCGTCTAAAAATGGCCAACAAATACCTATAGATATGCTATTTTTTTCTTCTCCTCGTATACAATAAACTGATTTATCTCGTTGCGGGATACAATACAAGGCAGTTATTTATGTCCCTGGGACGCGGCGGACTTTAGTGTCCCGGTGTTTTCATGGTTGTATCTACTGTAGATCCTGGTTTACAGGAGTTGAGAGGCTGAGGCGGGCTTGTCCCAATTAAAAAATAGTAAATATAGACGAGTGATTTTTCATTAAAACTATTATATAAAGCGGAAGAGTTTGTTTTTTTGTTTGTTAGTTTGAACGCGCTAATCTCCGTAACTACAAGTCTGATTTGAATAATTCCTTTTGTGTTGGATAGCGCATTTATCGAAGATGGCTATCGGCTATAAAACATTATGCTCCGACCAATAGGAGCTGAGCAGAGCATGTGAAATAGCGCGGAAGCACGTAGGTGTATTGTATTTAACCGAATGCCTTCCAAGCACAACCAAATATACTATGTCTTCACAAAATCGTACTTTGAAAATACCACTGCCTTGCTTTAAAGTAAGCCTGCTGAACATAATGATTTCTATATCACATGGCTTGAACCAACTTGCACCTAGCTACTCACTGCAAACTTTTTTTTATACAAATTATGATTTTATGAAGCACCTTACCCACCTACCCGTCTTCTCCGCCATTTTTTCCCTTGCAATAGGGTAGGTACCTAATTTTTATTTTAATGTCCGTCTGGTAGATTATTTTAAATCATTGGACACGTATTTTTTTGTTTTCTCACTGAAACGAATACTTTCGACGATATATTGATTTGAAATGTCGCGTGACGTCACTTCTATGTACATTTTATACGTAGAAATGACGTTTTAGCCCCCACTCCTAAACTTTGAATCGTTTTATCTAAGTATTGTTTTATTATACGACAAAATAAAAAATACGTGTCTAATATTTTTTAATTACCTAACTTACGAACTAATTGGATTTTTAATTTTCATACCCTGTCATCATCTCGATTATATTTTAATCAAATTGTGCACTAACGTAACTGTTGGACGAGGTTGTACGACTAGTTTTAAATCCCGCCGGGGACCAAAAATTCTGAGTAACATATGCGACAACCGACGCAGTGAAAGTCGTACAGCGAACCAAGCCAAAATGATACCTCAAATTCCAAATTTTCTTTCGAAAACCTCAATTCCTTCCTCGTAGGCAATAAAAACGATGTTTTATGACATTTTACAATAGTAATAATATCTTAGGGCACAATAAAGTTGCCCTTTACAATTCTTTTAGCATTTTAATACAGCCTTATGGTTGCAACTCACGAACATATCGTGTTTAGAAAAAATATCCCTGAATAGTCAGTCGTTTTGTACATTTTCAGCGATAGAGATGTACTGAAAGTGGTTTTTTGATATAATTATTTCTGAAGTTATATTTATTTGTTGTTTTATTACGCTTACAGAAATAAATGAAGACATTTCTGTCATGAAACCTTAAGTGAAACGAGCTGAAAATAATGGTTTTTGTTATAACGTATTTTCTCTAAAATTTGTAGACGGATTTCAGAAATTCTTTCACTTTTTGATAGTTTAGTCTCTAAGAATTTTTTTGAGTGTCAAACATAACGCTTCGAAACTTAGGAGCAGAGTAAAAACGTGTGAAAAATTGTGATTTTGTGAGGGTTTCAGTAAAAATGTCAGGGAATATTGATGCTCATTCTTTTGTAAGTATTGTAGAAGTTTTATACATATAACTTCGTCCTTTATATTCGTTAATGGTACAAGCAGTGTTGTCTTATTATTTATGTTATTTGTAATAAGTACAAAGGAAGTTTCAGAACCGTGAAATCTGGGCTTTTAAATGCTAAAAGAGAATTCCAGTTGGGCGTTTAGCCCTAGAATTCTAGTTTCGTTTAATTACGAATTAGATCAAACCTATGTCTTTTGAACATTTTAAATTCCGTCCTACTACAGAGAATTTTCGAAAATCATATTCTTACATTAAAAAATGTACAGAATAAAAAGGCAGGTAGGTACTGGTAGCATTGGCAGCTCAATTTTAACATGAAAAATAAATTCTTCTCATAGCCAAAAGCATGGAAGAAGATGAATAAGAAAGATAGAGATGCCTGGCTCGTTCAAAGGATAGAAGAGTGGAGAGCGGAAAAGGAAGCTGAGAAGTTAGTTATCATCTTATTATAATAATGGTATTTTAATTAGAAAACTCGAAAGGTCCGGCTGGTTGGTCCTTTTGGGCGTTATTGGTCCAAATGTCCATCGGTCTTGATGGATTTTCCTGGTGTTTGGTTTCAAAATTCAAAGTGTGGGAGAGCCATGCTTCGGCACGAATGGGCCGGCTCGACCGGAGTGATACCACGGCCGAGCAGAAGACCGACGTGAAACAACGCTTGCGTTGTGTTTCGTCGTGTGAGTGAGTTTACCGGAGGTCCCAATTACCCCCCTCCCTTTGCCCAATCCCTGAATCCCTAACAATCCCTAAATTCCTAATCCCAGAAGACCGGTAACGCACGTGTAACGCCTCTGGTGTTCCAGGTGTCCATGGGCGACACCGATTGCTTACCATCAGGTGATCCGTCCAGTCGTTTACCGGCTTATTCCATAAAAAATGCCTGTTTCCTTCCAAATTATTCCTCAAACGATCTATCCTTCATTATTTTTTTGTAATACATTTTCAGAATGTCTACAGCACTTAGTTATTGGAACTCGAATTGTATATTTACACGTTTTAGTAGATTAGTTTAGTAGCTAGATTCGCACACACGAATACATTATGAATGTTAGCAGTTGTGCACACAGCCACACATCAATCTATACAAAACCAGTTTATCCTGGTGATGCGTCGCATCATCTTTCCGCACATTTAACGTTCAGTTTATACTGGTTATGTAAAGCTCGCACTCGCACTAAGATGTCATTGTGTAGCCGTGTGTACAGCATACCTACGTACCTGAGGCCTTAGTACGAGTTTAATTTACGTTTAAAGTATTCGAAACGAGTAGGCGTTCGGTGCTCTGATTGGCCGGCGCCAATGAACCAACCAATCAGAGCGCTGAACGCGTACTCATTACGATTACTTTCAGCGTAAAACAAATTCGTACTAAAGTCTCGGGACCGAGTCTGTTTTACGTATAACGACATCGAGACTTCACTGCGCTCGATACTATTACGTTACGAATTCGATAGTTTTTCGTGCTTAGAACTCTGATTGGCCTGCTACAATGAATCAACCAATCAAAACATCGAGCGCGGTAACATTCCGATCTCGTTATACGTGAATTCAACTTTACCCTTTTGTCATAAGTATCAGATTTATACAAATCACCAAGTTTAGATTCATATCTTAACTAATATACTACGTAGTATGTATGAACGTCGATAGCATCAATATATTTATCCATGTTTATCAAATGAGGTCAGTGTTTTCATAAGTAACGTTGTTAATTTAGTCTTATTATTTGAAACTTACTTATCTATATATAAAAATAAAACCCGTTTCCCGTTGTCACGCCATAACTTGAGAATGGCTGGACCGATTTGGCTGATTTTTTTTTTTGTTGTGTTTGTTATTGTCAGGAGAAGGTTCTTATGATAGAAAAAAATCCTGAAAATCTTATGAGAACGGGAGAAAACGGGATTGCGCGTACGAAGTCGCGGGCAGAAGCTAGTTTAAAATAACTTTATTGTATGAACCTATTACCCCGTATTTAAACTGTTTTTTTAGCTTGCTAGCGTTTATTTGTTTGGGTCTAAAGTAATTGGTATTCTATCCTCTTCCCTGAAGATCGATTGATATTTGGTAGGTTTACACTCTTAATCTTTATGACTGTCATCATCATCATCATCATCATTATCATCACCAATAGTTTATAAATGCCTACTGCTGACCAAAGCCTCTTCTCACACGGAGAAGGTTTGAGCGTTAATCATCACGCTTGCTCAATGCGGGTTGGCGATTACAGACTTATAATTAGAAATATAAGCCTAGGTTTCCTCACGATGTTTTCTTTCACCGTTTGTCAGTGGTGACTAGATAATCTTAGAAAGTATATATAACTCGGAAAAAGTCACATTGGTACTTGCCGTTGGTAGGTTTCGAACTCGCAACCTCATGTATGAGAAGTGGGTCTCTTAAGCCACCACGACACTTGATGACCAGTATTATCTATGTTTGTCCACAACTACGTTTTCAAAATATAAATATTTTTATGTATTATTAATACACAGCTTATGGCTTATGTCCAGCAGTGGACGAAAAGAGTCTTGTTGATGATGATGATGATTAATACGCAGCACTGGTTGGCACGATGGCTGGACAACTGGAACATCACCATGTGTGATCCATAGATTATTGTTCCGTGTCTGTGAGTGACGTGTACATGAACTTGTATGTTTGTAAACGCACCCACGACACAGGAGAAAATCTTAGTGTGGGGTATAATCCTAGAGCGAAATAACGTTTTCTTTAAACAAAAAAGGAAAAATGACACATACATATACATAACATCACGCCTTTTATCCCCGAAGGGGTAGGCAGAGGTGCACATTATGCCACTGTACAATGTAACACCCACTTTTCACTATTTATGTTATGAGTCCCATGTAATAGGGGGTGAGCCTATTGCCATATACCGGGCACAATTCCAGACTCCGTGCTACTACTGAGAATTTTGTAAATACCCAGTAATACTTTGCCCGACCCAGGAATCGAAGCCGGGACCCCTTGCCCGGCAATCGCACTTGCGACCCCTCGGCCAACGAGGCAGTCGAGGCAGCCGAGGAAAAATGATCAACGAAAAATTTCGAGTTGCTCACGTAAATATACTGAGAAAAGCTCTCCTAGTTTCGAGTCACGGAGGGACCCTTCCCCTTGAGCAGAATGCACGGTCGTGGTGATATCGCGCAGCGTACTACTAGTAGAACTTTTCTCAGTATATTTACGTTATTAAATCGTCATTTTCAGTAAATTCAGTATGTCTTACGATAGTTATTAAAAAAAAGAAAAATAATAATAATTTCTCTTCTTAATTCCTTATTCAGACAAGCAATCCTGGCGGGAGCAAAGGAGAAACGCGCCGCCCTGATCAGGGAGCGCAATGAGATGATGGCTGCTGAAATAATGGAGCAAGAAGTCAGAAGAGATGTGCTGCAGAAGGCCGTCAACTTGTTTCAAGGTATCATTTTAGTTTACCAAAATATCTCCAATCCTTGAAAGGCTGGCAACGCGCTTGTAACATCTTCGATGCTCCGGGTATCAATGGGCGACGCTGATTGCTTACCATCAGGTGATCCGTCTACTCATATACCATAAACAAAAACGTAATACATTAATATTTCTTACTGCCTCGACGGCCTTGTTCACCGAGTAGTCGCAAGTGCGACTGTCGGGCAAGGGGTCTCGGGTTCAATTCCCGGGTCGGAATTATTATTAGGTTTAAAAAAATAAAATCTCAGTAGTAGCACGCAAGTCTGGAATTGGGCCCGATATATGGCAATAGACTCACACTCTATTACATGGGACTCATAACTTATACTCCGTCTGTTTAGGTAGTTAACTATTTGTAAACAAACCATAAAAAGAGTTCTTTATAGTTGACATTTCCATGATTCAAAATACTTCATAAGAAAATAAAATTGTTTCCATTTTTACGACAGTTTTCTCTATTAAATGTTATGTTTCTGTTCCTTTTCACTTATTTCTTAGTAAATATTATATATATCTGCTTGAGCATAATAATTTAATAACATTTTTTATTAAATAATATAATATTTCATTACAATAGACACCTTAAAGAGCCTAAAATCCCAGGTATCCAAAACCTTTCTTTATGAACGAAGCATAAGATAATGTTGTCAAATTAAAGAGTACAACTAAGATGTAGCGCGACAATGAAAGTAGCGTGTATTACGTTTAGTCGGTTAATCAGGCGCCATTGACAGCTCTCTCGTCGTTTGCGCTTGCGTTCCTATTTTGTTGAATTTATCTTGTTTCTTTGTTTTGTTTTTGTTATTAAGTTATTTAAGTTTAGGTTATTCATCGTTTGTAATTAATGTGTTCAAATATATTGAAGAAACTTGGTCCAAAGACACATATCCGTACAAGAAAGAAATCCGTACATCAGATTCAGAATAGTTTCCATTTAAACATGATAATGAAATAAACCTAAATAGGCTAGGCTCTTGTACGATTTAGGCATTTGTGCTTGTATATGTGTGTGTGTGACAAATGAACGATTTTAAAGGGAATTTAGTTTAAATTAAAACACGAGAAATATTTGAAGTAATAGAAGGTTAAGTATCTCTGTGTCACGTGGTTTTGTTTGTTTACCTTTAGTTAATTACCTAAACAGATGGACTATAGATAGTGAAAAGTGGGTATTACATTGTACAGTGGCATTAAGTGCAGTTCCATAAAAAAACGGACAAGCCATAAAACCGTTTAATAAAAAATATCATTACGTAATTATGTACATATATACATACACCATGAAATTATCAACCCATGTGGTGGTAATAGAGGCGAGCTCAATCTAAAAAGCACCCTAAGCAAGCTCTTCCCTCACAACCCAGCCATCACGAAGGACACACCGGGCGTCGGGGATCGCGGGACGATCTCCGGCCACCGTAAGCGTGGGCCTGCGGACGGCCAGCATGGGTGGCTCGCCGTCCGACCAGAACCAGACCCGAGCGTACGGGGTGTCGCGTTCCGCGCGAGCTTCAAAGATCCATCAGACGACCACGGATGAGGCCCAAATGGGTTGATGTCGATACGGAGCCGCGGAGGACTTAACGGGTTACCGGCCGGCTCGAAAGGCAGGAGAAGGATCGGGGTGGTTTTTAGTCAGTAAGAGTCTGACACTCCCTCCCGCCTCACCCAGGCGGGAGCAAGCATTTGATGATTATGCCCCCATAAAAAAGCTAGCTCTTCATAAGCACCTCTATATTGTTGGCCGGCCGGCCGCCAATAGATTGACTGTTGGGCTTGCGTGATTCGCCTCGCCCTCTGTAACCTGACGCCCTAGGCACTTGCATAGTTTTGCTTTAGGGATAATACGGCTCTGTATAACAGCGAAGTAGGAAACATTTGACACTATTCTTGGATGTCGTAAGACTGATGTCTCTTCTCAGTCAAAGTATAGTCCTTTAAGAAGTTAAAGTTCAAACATAGGTCATGATAACAAAAATAGCATTTCACCTTTTGATATAAATAAATTGTTCTTTTCAGGTTATGAAAGACAAAAAATAAAGTACGAACAGAAAAAGCAAAAGGATGCTGAGGTAAGAATAAAGTTCCGATATCACTCAATAATACTTTGTCCGACTCATTCAAAGCTGCTTTGTAGAGGTAGTCGCTCTCGTGATAACTCGACCAACAGTTAAAGAGTGAATTGGTTGCTTATGGGCGTGACCGCATCATCGCTTACCACCAGAGGGGGAGATAGGGGACAAACGCCGAGCTATCCTAATTAATATTATGAAACCAAAAGTTTGGACTGCGCCGTTGGCACGCCGGTTGCGCAACTGGGTGCCGAGCAACGTATAGCTGATTCAACTCTTTGTGTGATCTACTATCTCTTGTTACGAGTGTGTGTGAATGTCTTGTGTATACGTGAATTTGTATGTTTCATAGTCAAAGTCAAAATCATATATTTCAATTAAACCTGGGAGCTTACTCTTGAAATCAATCTCAATGTCAATGCCATTTCAATCCAATAAAATCTCAATAATTAGAGGTAGATATTCAATGTCAACAATATACAACCACAATCGTAGCTGTTGAAATAGCATTCAGAGTACGGAATATAAAGTCAAACTCAATTTAATTCATTCAATATACACGCAATATGGATGCAATGAGCGCTAGTGTTACAACTCAAGAGTACGAAATTTGACAATACCAATGTTGATCGATCGTAATTGGATTCAATAGTAAGCCACCAGGAAAGCACTTTTAAATGCCAAAACTAAATATTGAGATATTTTTAAAATGTTCGTCTGTCAGTCAGTCCTCTAGTGAAGCTATTTGCCCGTTCCAAAATATAGATTCCCATAGAGAAGAACGAGCAAGAAACTCCCTAGGTTACTCTTTTTCAATCAGGTTTAAATATTTCATTGGTTCAATTATGTGAATGTTTTATAAATCCACCGACGATAATAGAAAAAATCCTGGTGCGGAAAAGTTCAAAATAGTAAATTTATTTCCTCTTTGCTGTGGTATACCTACTTAGCAAACCACTCTTCGTGTCATGTTATATATACTTACCTACCTATAATTTGGAGTACAGACAAAGCCGCTGGTCACACTTAACTAATCTTAACTTACTTAACAAATTATACAAGAAAATAAAATAAAAATTAATTATCCAATGATCGTTTCACAGTGGCTACAATATCTTCGATGTGATGGACTCCCAGACCCTCGCATAGTCACAGAGCTGAACACCTTCCTCCACCTCTGGCAGCAGAATGAAAAGGCCGATGACAATGAACTGGACAGGAAGTTCCTGGAAGTTCTGCCGGTATGTCATTTTTGTAGACACGAACTATATAAAATAGAATGAGGCGTTACTTTGCGGAAATCCATGGACCAAGAACAACTGGGTAAATATTTAGTATAGCTACTTCCGCGCGGTTTCACACGCTCTGCTCAGCTCCTATTGGTCGTAGCGTGATGTTATATAGCCTATAGCCTTCCTCGATAACTGGACTATCCAACACAAAAAGAATTATTCAATTCGAACCAGTAGTTTCGGAGTTTAGCGCGTTCAAACAAACAAACAAACTCTTCAGCTTTATAATATTAGTATACACCGTTAAATTTGAATCGTTTTAATCCCTTGGAGGTTCGAACTGGTCCATGAAACACTATTGATTTGTAAAGATAAAATTAAAAAATAAAGTACTTTTTTTTAATAACTCGAATCAATTCTCCCATGAGTGAATAAATAATGCGAACCATTAGTAGGCACCATTCCTATCAGTAACAACCTAACAACATTGACGCGGTCGCTGGTCAACGTGGACTCGCAAACATCAGTTGATCGAGTCAATAGCCGCCGTGTAGGTACCTACACTGCCCGACCGTCGACGATACGCAACGACCGACGACGACGTAGGTAACTATCTCGTGGCGCAACTTTTAGTTTCAAACATTTTGCGAGTATAATCTTATCATTTGCTAATTTGTTTATTTTTTATGTTACACCGCAGTACAAGCTTGTAATGAGTAGTATTCTGTTAGTTAAACCACAGGTCCATGGGATTAAAACGACTAAAATTTAACGGTGTATATTAATTCCGATACAGGAATGAATTTTCAACATGCAGTATGCAGCACCCGACTGCCTCATTAGCAGATTCTGCTGTATGAGTATATATATACATATACTCATCTTATACTATTATATAAAACGGAAGAGTGTTTTTTGTTTGTTTGTTTGAACGGGCTAATCTCCGTAACTAAATGTCTGATTTAACTAATTCTTTTTGTGTTGGATAGCGCATTTATCGAGGATGGCTATAGGCTATAAAACATCACGCTACGACCAATAGGAGCTGATCAGAGCGTGTGAAACCGCTGGGAAGTAGCTAGTACAGCAGATATGCGATACAAAACACACACACAACACGCAATAAACCACTCGAACCACATTTGGCATATGTTACGCTCCTCCACAGAACATCCTCAGGATTTATTGACTCGACAACTCCCGCGGCTCGAACGAGGTAATTCAACTAGTTTTAAACCACAATCGGAACCATTTTTTTTAAGGGGGGAAAATCATCGAACGACTGCTCCCGCCTGGGCGAGGCGGGAGGGAGTGTCAGACTCTTACTGACTAAAAACCACCCCGTTCCTTCTCCTGCACGTCGAGCCGGAGCCCCGGTTTTACCCGTTAGGTTCTCCGCGACTCCGAAATCGGAACCATTAGGGCATAGTCTTATACAGCATACGTAACGAATTATGACTAAATTATTTTTATTTCTTTCAGATCTTAGATATGCTGGAAACATTTCTCAACAACGCAAGACAGTACACACAAAGACAGATTGAGAACTACGATGAGGTGAGTACCATACCATCAGATAAATGTGACATGAGGGCGCCCTTGCACCTTTTTTTTTAAGGGGGGAAAATCATCTAATGACTGCTCCCGCCTGGGTGAGGCGAGAAGGAGTGTCAGACTATTACTGACTAAAAACCACCCCGTTCCTTCTCCTGTACGTCGAGCCGGAGCCCCAGTTACCCGTTAAGTTCTCCGCGACCGCCCTTGCACCTTAGAGGCGCCACTAACACTGCAATACAAAATGGAAAGCAATTTCTCAAGGAGAATGCGCAAACATTGTACGCAGTATGCCTCACAGAGTAGCTGCTGTGATAAAATCAAAGGGTGGTCCAACAAAATATTAATGTTTTTGTATGTTTGTATTAGAAATAAAGTTAATTAATAAACAAAAGTAGTTTTGTTTCTATATAAATAAAAAATATGCAATAATTCATAGTGTGCCTAATACTTTTGGCCAAGGCTGTACATTTTTTTTAAGGTTGAAAAATCATCGAATGGCTGCTCCCGCCTGGGTGAGGCGGGAGGGAGTGTCAGACTCTTACTGACTAAAAACCACCACCAAACTACCAACTCCTGCACGTCGAGCCGGAGCCCCGGTTACCCGTTAGGTTCTAAAAGGTTGTACATATTACCTATAGCTTGTTTTTAAAAAGTTTTTTTTTATTCTAGGTCCGTCTAGCTCTCAGGGCTCAATTAGCCAGCGCTATAGAAATGGCTTCCTATTCCTTACTGCGAAATATAGAGAAAAATCTAGTTTCTGAGTCGACAAAAGTATCAACTTATCAGAGGGAGTTCAAAGGTATGCGGCTAAACATCTGGGTTGCTATAAAATGGCCCACCAAGAAACCGAAACCAGTGGAACATGAGCCGTGAGTTTTTAGCTTAAGATTTAAGTTTTTAAGTCAACAAAATATCATATTCTTTTAATCCATGAAATGCATATTAAGTTAACATAACATCACTCCTTTTATCCCCGAAGGGGTAGGCAGAAGTGCACATTACGGCATTTAATACCACTGTATAATGTAACATCCACTTTTCACTATCTATGTTATGAGTCCCATGTAATAGGGGGTGAGCTTAGTCTCTTACCATATACCGGGCACAATTTCAGACTCCGTGCTACTACTGAGAATTTATAAAAACCCAGTAATACTTTGCCCGACCCGGGAATCCGAGACCCCTAGCCCGGCAGGCGCACTTGCGACCATTCGGCCAACGAGGTAGTATGCACATTAAGTACATAATTATTTATAATGTATCGTGGTCAAATCGTGGTAGCTCAGAGGTTTAAGAGGCCCACTTCTCATGCATGACGGTGCCTCTAACGACAAGTACCAATGTGACTTTTTCCGAGTTATATGTACTTTCTAAGATTATTCAGACACCACTGACAAACGGTGAAGGAAAACATTGTGAGGATACTTGGGCTTATAATTCCTAATTATAAGTTTGAAATCGAAATCCCGCATAGATCAATCCTGGCGATTAATGCTCAAACCTCTTCTCCTCCGCGTGAGATGAGGCCTTTGGTCAGCAGTGGGCATTTATAGACAGTTGATGTGATGTGTGACCTCTCTACCTACCCCTTTTTAAAATAACAATCTCAATAAAATTTTCAGGGAACCAGTAGAACTGTCGTTTCCATCAATGAAAGTGTCAGTAAAACTACCGAAAATAATTGACGGCTCCTGTATCTGCGTGCGCGCAGCTCGATCCGAAATAGATCTCCTTAGTGAACTTTCGCAAAGTTTCGCTCTAAAATCGGATATTCCGAAACGATATGAAGGTATAGTATTAAATTTATATTCTTTCTTCAAAAAGCTAAAGTGTTGTGTTAGAATCTTTGTTTTTTTTATGGCATAAGTCGGTAAACGAGCAGACGCATCACCTGATGGTAAGCAATCGGCGTCGCCCATGGACACCTGGAACACCAGAGGCGTTACAAGTGTTAGTTACTTTTGGAATTAGGAATTTGAGGATTGTTGGTGTTTCAGGGACAGGGGAAAAGGAGGGGGTAGTTGGGCATCCGGTAACCTCACTCACACGACGAAACACAACCCAAGCGTTGCTTTACGTCAGTTTTCTATGAGGCCGTGGTATCACTCCAGTCGAGCCGGTCCATTCATACCGAAGCATGACTCTCCCACACTTATACTTTTACTTACTTTTGTATATCTATTACTTACTTATGTATATGTAGATATGTTTATAAAGTACTAGCAGCCCGTCCCGGCTTCGCACGGGGTAGACAATTATTTATTTTTGGAAATTTGGATTGTTGTAGTGACATAACTACAATAGTTGGACATATGCTACCGCGGAGTTTTTTATAGACATTATGATGTTCTTCAATATTGTTATACATTATTTTGTTCTATCGCTAATAGTTTCGGCAGCGCATTCGACGAAAGACATTTTAAGACTCATTTTTCTACACCTTCGGTTACGTTGTTCAAATTTTACCAAGGATCCCTAATTTTTTTAAAATGAAATGAAGCCTATGTCGAATTGGAAGAATGTAGCATTAGATTGGTGAAAGAATTTTTTAAATCGGCCCAGTACTTTTTGAGCCTATTCATTACAAACATACAAAAATAGGTACAAATCTTTCCCCTTTATAATATTAGTATAGACGAATGCATGTGTGAGTGCCATCATAAGAATTAAGAATCCATAATGTTAAACCAGTCGTAAATAAATAAATCAGCACAATGCAACCACGTATTTCTCTTACCTAAAATCCCCGCAAGCAAAAGTGAACCTTATTACTATAACATAAACTATTGACTTTTTTATGGAATTAGATCAAATCAAATCATTTTTTTTGCAAAAACACATGTGTACATGCTATTATTTATTGTGTGTAAGATAGCGGGTAGCAGTAAAAAAAGTTCGAGTTATGTTTCCCGTATACAATGGCGTGCAAATATTGAGGTGTCGGGTGTAAAGGAAACAATAATTAATTAGGATACACGTGTTTAATAGATGAAGTCTAGATTACGACTAATACATTCTTATATCACTACACTACAATATAATAGTCAACATAACATAACATCACGCCTTTTATCCCCGAAGGAGTAGGCAGAGGTGTACATCATGCCACTGTACAATGTAACACCCACTTTTCACTATTTATGTTATGATTCCTATATATATATAATAGGGGTAAACCTATTGCCATATACCGAGCACAATTCCAGACTGTGCTACTTAAGAGAATTTTTAAAAAACTCAGTAATACTTTGTTCGACCCGGGAATCGAACCCGAGACCCCTTGCCCGGCAGTCGCACTTGCGACCACTCGGCCAACGAGGCAGTTAAATGTAGTAGTCACTTATAATGATTGCGAAGTAAACAACATCTTTCGAATGTGGAAACCTTATTTAAAATTAGACATTGATGGAATATAGAGGTAGATAATAATATTATGTCAGAGTAACCATAGAGCGTACTCCGTTCTAAAAGGCCGACAACGCACCTGTGAATCTTCCTGTGTTTCGGGTGTCCGTGGGCGGCGCCGATTGCTTACCATCAGGTGATCCGACTGCTTGTTTGCCGGATTATGGCATAAAAAAAAAATTGGGGTAAACGAACTGACGAATCACCTAATGCATAAGCAATCAGCACTGCCGATAGACCCTCGTGATACGAGAGAAGTTAAAAGTGCGTTGCTGGTCTTTTAGGAATAGGTCTATTAGAGATAAATATTGGGAACTTGCTTCTGCCCGCGACTCCGTACGCGCAATCCCGTGTCAATATTTGAGTATTAGCCGAATAACATAATAATTCATCCAATCTTCTCTTTCAGATCTCTTTTCATTCAACGTGAAAGAACTGATTGAATCTCAAAAACTGAAAAAGTCACAGGACGAGGCGAGAACAAAATTCTATAGGGAAGTTCGTGAGAGAGTGCGTGAATTGGAGGCTATCATCAAAGCTAATATGTAAGTTGAAAGATATTTCAGTGTTTAGGTTACAATTAAGCAAATATACAAAAAAAAACCATATTGTACCTCCAAGCGGTCACCGGTCGGAGAACCTAACGGGTAACCGGGGCTCCGGCTCGACGTGCAGGAGAAGGAACGGGGTAGTTTTTAGTCAGTAAGAGTCTGACACTCCCTCCCGCCTCACCCAGGCGAGAGCAGTCATTCGATGATTTTCCCCCCTTAAAAAAAAAAGCAGTCACCGGTGAGCGTTCTCCACTAACTACATTGTAGACCTTATTTCCAATGTTTAGAGACTACTTTTGTATGAACTAATTTAGGGGATTTGATTGATTTTCAACGGGTTAATGTAGATGCTTATATAGTATTTTTTCTGGGATATTTATTTTGTTTTCGTCGCGCCTGAAATAGCCATCAGACCACCACATATAGGGCCCAGTAGAGCTGATGCCGATACGGAACTGCGGAGTATTTATCGGGTTGCCAGAGGTCCGGCTCGAAGTGCAGGAGTAGGAACGTGGGAATTTTTAGTCAGTAAGAGTTTGACACTCCCTTTCGCCTCACTCCAGGTAGGAGAAGACATTGAATGGTTTTTGTATGGCATTGGCCGTTTAAAGAAGGGCTAAATTAGAAGTACCCTTAACCGACGAGCATGCATGAAAAGATTGATGACTGTTGATGAAGCGAAAGAGGTATGTAGGAATCGTAGTAATTGGCGTTCCATAGTCTCTGCCTACCCCCATGGGAGACAGGCGTGAAGTTATGTATGTTGTATGTTGTATGTTAGGCTTGTGTAGTTCGCGAACGAACTAAAGAATGAACAAAAGAGCGCTCCAACATTCAAAATATGCGAACTAGTTCACGTCATTCCCAACTCCTTAGTTCCTTAGTTCGTATTTCAAAGTACAAGTACAAGGATTGTGAAGTCGTTTATATGTATAGTCTATGGTGAAGACCGAACTAAAAAATGCGATACCATATGATCTCACTTGAATATTATATAATATTTAATTGCGTGCAGGAACTTGCATCAAAACTAGGGAGCGATTTGGCTGCCAGTGCCTTCCTAGTTCCTATGCGATTCATTCCGATTCCAAATACAACTGGGAGTCGGGAGCTGACGAACTAGGGAGCGATTTGGTTGCCAGTGCCTTCCTAGTTCCTATGCGATTCATTCCAATTCCAACTCCAACTGGGAGTCGGGAGCTGTCGAACTAAAAGAGCGAACTAGTTCGTTTAGAAGCGGCGAACTGATCTGAGTGATCTTAGTCGCGAACTATTAAGCACAAGACTATTGTATGTATGTAATGGCCGTTTCCCAGTTTATCCCATGAAATATATAGTTACACTAGCGGACCCAACAGACGTTGTCCTGCATATATTCACTTGAATGTATAAACAAAAATTCATTCAAATTAGTTCAGTTGTTTAGGATAAATAACCTAAACATCGGCTGCAGCGTACGGCGCGTCTCGTTCCGCGCGCGCCTCAAAGAGCCATCAGACCACCACAGATGGGGCCCAATACGGCCGATGCCGATTCGGAGTCGCGGAGAACCTGACGGGTAGCCGGGGCTCCAGCTCGACGTGCAGGAGAAGGAACGGGGTGGTTTTTAGTCAGTAAGAGTCTGACACTCCCTCCCGCCTCACCCAGGCGGGAGCAGTAATTCGATGATTTGAAAACATCGACTGCAGCGCCATGTGCCGGGCTGATTTGTGAATGTAAACCATTCCCAGATCCCCTTGAACACACAAAAAATGTCATCAAAATCGGTCCAGTCGTTTGGGAGAAGTTCAGTGACATACACACTCACAGAAGAATTATGTATATAAAGATGTGCATCTTTTGCGGAGTAAAAGGCAAAATATTACATTAAAATATTTTTAACATTTTCAGATACCTGCAAAATCTAAAAGAGAAAGAGGAATTGGATATTTTGAACATGTCTGAGGCACCTTACGTATCTCCACCGAGAGTGTGCATAGCTACCGAATGTGGTAAATAATTTGCATATTTATAACCTAACCTGACCAGGGTGCTTACTCTTGAAACCAATCTCAATGTCAATGCAGTTTCAATCCAATAAAATATCAATAATTATTCAATGTCAAAACTATACAACCCCTATCGTAGCTGTTAAAATAGCATTCAGAGTGCGGAATACAAAGCCAAACTCAATACCATTTATGCAATGGGCGCTAGTGTTGCAACTCAAGAGTACGAAATTTCACATTACCAATGTCGATCGATCGGAATTGAATTCAAAAGTAAGGCCCTGATGTAACCTGTCCAATCCTAAAAGGACCTGATATAACAGAACTTTTAATACTAACCTTACATGTTATGACCTGACCAGTCCTAGAAGGACCTGACATCACCGAACTTGTCTCGAGAATAATTTTTATCATTAACTATCATAATTCCTATGATTGCCTTGACTGTTTCTGTCATAAAAAGGGACTGAACTATCAATAAATATATTGATAGCTTGAATGAAATTAATTTTATAGAATTTTGAAAGTATCTGTTGATATTTTGAATTCATTATTTCATTCCGATCGTGGAGTTTTTAAATATATGAGTATTTGTTTTAATTTTAATCCAAAATAACACCAAACAATTTTGACCTGACATGACCTGCTCTGCTCACCCTGATGTGTTGTTAAGAAAACCTATTTTTTCAACAGAAATCGATTTTAAAAAGTATTTGCGGTCGTGCAAACCCAGGATACGAATTGGCGAACTAAATCTGAGGCGATATAGGTAAGCAAATATAGTATGCTATAATATTACTATAATAGGATATTATGTCCGTCTGGTAGATTATTTTAAAACATTAGACATGTATTTTTTATTTTTTTACAGAAACGAATACTTTTGGCGATATATTGATTTGATCAATGTCGCGTGACGTCACTTCAATGTACATTTTATACGTAGAAATGACGGTTTAGCTCCCAATCCTAAACTTTGATTCGTTTTATCTAATTATTGTAACCTCAAACATCATCATCATTAAAAGCCTATAAATGCCCACTGCTGAGCAAAGCCTCTTCTCACACGGAGAAGGTTTGAGCATTAATCACCACGCTTGCTCAATGCGGGTTGGCGATTTCAAACTTAACTAACTAAATAACTAGAAATTATAAGTCCAGGTTTCCTCACGATGTATTCCTTCACCATTTGTCAGTGGTGTATAAATAATCTTACAAAGTACATATAACTCGGAAAAAGTCACATTGGTACCTACTTGCCGTTGGGAGGTTTCGTGACACCCTTATGCATGGGAAGCGGGCGTCTTAAACCTCCGGGCCACCACGGCAAAATAAAAAAAACATGGCTAATATTTTTTCATTATGTTACTAACGGATTAATTACATTTTTAATTTTAATGCCCCGTTATCATCCCTATTCTAGCGTCTGCCAGTCGCATCGCTCTTATTCCTATGGGATAAAAAATAGTCTACGCGTTATTCTGTTCTTGACCACAATTTTTTTTAACTTTGTTCCTCACTCAGATATTCTCCTATATCGTAGGTGCGTTTATACACATACTAGCTTTTACCCACGGCTTCGCTCGCGTCACAAAAGGATGAAAAGTAGCCTATGTGACATATACCAATACACACAGCGCCTTCTACACTAATACTTTTGTTTTCCCTCGGAAATATCATTTTATTCCGGAATTCTAACTTCTGCAAAAATTCTAAACAATCGGTTAAGTAGTTACGGCGTGAAAGCGGAACAAACAAACAAACAAACAAACTCACTTTCCGATTTATAATTATATAAGGATATAAGGATAAGGACAAGTTTACATACTACAAGATTTTAGAAAAAAGTAAATCCTAATATGGGGATTATTAGGATTTTCTCCTGTGTCGTGGGTGCGTTTACAAACATACAAGTTCACATACACAAGACACCTAGAAAAACAATCTGTGAATCACACAAAGACTTGTTCCGTGCGTGAATCGAACCCGCGACACGTTGCACAGCTGCCGGTTGCCCAGCCATCGCACCAACTGTGCAGTCTGTCTGTCGATCTACCCCTGTTCCAAATCTTATCCTCATTCCTTCAGCTGTTTTGACGTGAAGGACTAACAAAGAAACAAATAAACTTTGCATTTATAATATTAGTCGGATTATAAAGCTGAAGATTTTGTTTGTTTGAACGCGCTAAAGTCAAAGTCAAGCAATTATTTCAATTGTCTATCTGGTTCAGTTTAACTGGATGTCATGTGTATCATAAGTGTATGTGAGGTTAACTGTTTATGAACGCATCCACGACAGGAGAAAATCCTAGTTTTTTTTTATGGAATAGGAGGCAAACGAGCAGACGGATCACCTGATGGTAAGCGATCAGCGCCGCCCATGGACACCCGCAACACCAGAAGAGTCACAGGTGCGTTGCAGGCCCTTTAAAAAGGAGTACGCTCTTCTCTTGAAGGTTTGAAGGTCGTATCGGTTCGGAAATACCGCCGACGACAGATCATTCCACAGTTTTGCTGTGCGAGGCAGGAAGCTACGTGAGAACCGCACAGTTGTGGCCTGCCAACCATCTATATGATGGGGATGCATATGCTGTCGTGAGGGTCGATGGCGAAAAGATGCGGCAGGTATCAGGTCAAACAATTCCTCAGAGCACTCCCCGTGGTATAAGCGGTAGAAAATGCACAATGAAGCTACATCTCTACGCATTGCCAAAGTGTCGAGCCGGTTTGAAACACCCGGACATCCAACAATCCGAACGGCACGCCGCTGAATGCGGTCCAGAGGAAGAAGCTGGTACTGGGGTGCCCCCGCCCAAAGATGAGAACAGTATTCCATGTGGGGCCGCACCTGTGCCTTATATAGAAGCAGGCGGTGGGTCGGGGTGAAATACTGCCTCGATCTATTGAGCACACCAAGCTTCCTCGAGGCTAATTTGGCCTTATCCTCTAAATGACCGCAAAACTGGACGTCGCTCGAAATGTTGGCACCAAGTATTCCAATAGCGGCTGAGGCAGTTAGGGGGGTGCTTTGAAACTGAGGAGAGACGACCACGACCTAGTGTGGGGAAAAGTTAAAAAAATTAAACCATAATTTGGTACTTTTGAAACGTCAATAAATACAAAGTAAATAATAGTCTGTCAGTCAGTCCGTCAGTGAAGCTAGGTGAAGCTAGGTGCTCATTCTAAAATGTAGATTCGAATGGAGAAGAACGAGCAAGAAACGCCATCAATCTTATCTACGAAACTACAGGTTCTAATCACTTTGACGTCCATAATTAGTAAAGTATCCAAAAAAATAGCATCATACGCCCACGGATACTGTAATATCCAAAGCGACGAGTTGTGTTTAAGTCTATCTATTTCAAAATACGATATTGTTTAGTGAGTTTTGACAGATTATCTATACAGATTTTAAGTGTGGGGGGAACCATGCTTCGGCACGAATAGGCCGGCTCGACCGGAGTGAAAAAGCCTCACAGAAAACCGACGTGAAGCAACAATTGCGTTGTGTTTCGTCGTGTGAGTGAGGTTACCGGAGGCCCAATTATCCTCCCCTTCCCCAATCTCCCCAATTCCTGAATCCCCAACGATCCCCAAACTCCTAATCCCCAAAAGGCCGGTAACGCACTTGTAACGCCTCTGGTGTTCTAGGTATTCATGGGCGACGCCGATTACCATCAGGTGATCCGTCTGCTCGATTACCGGCCTATGCCATAAAAAAAAAACAGATGATGAAATAGTTCGTTCGTAGATCACTTTTTTTCGTATTATTGTCTTTATTCTAGCCAACATGGTTCTACGCCAAAATTTCGGGTGCCACGTGTAGCTGAACGTGAGAGAGACAAACGTTCGCGCGGGCCAGATGTTAGAGTGGGTAGGATAGTCGCATTTATCGAGGAAGGCTAGATTATAAAAATTTAGGCTCTGGCCAATTTGAGCAGCGAGTTCAACCACGGTGGAGTAGCTGGTATTCAATAAATGCTTTGTAGTTTCAGTTTTTTATGATGGAACTTTTCAGATGTTTTATCTTTACAGGATCTGTGGTGGAGTTCTCAATCTGGATTTGATAGTAACTCCTCCACAGCCGAAACGGATGCGGCATTCAGTTATTGTGACTACATGTAAGTAATTTTAAACTACTGTTACACACAGAGCCGTCTTAAACTATACTGGAGCCCTTTTTTTTTTAAGGGGGGAAAATCATCCAATGACTTCTCCCGCCCGGGCGAGGCGGGAGGGAGAGTCAGACTCTTACTGACTAAAAACCACCCCGTTCCTACTCCTGCACTTCGAGCCGGAGCCCCGGCAACCCGTTAAGTCTTCCGCGGCTCCGTATCGGCATCAGCCCTGTTTGGCCCCATCTGTGGTGGTCTGATGGCTCCTTGAGGCGCGCGCGGAACGCGACGCGCCGTACGCTCGGGCCTGGTTCTTGTCGGGCGGCGAGTCACCTGTGCTCGCCGTCCGCAGGCCCGTGCTTACGGTGGCCGGAGATCGTCTCGCGATCCCCGACGCCCGGAGTGTCTCTCGCGACGGCCGGGTCGTGAGGAGGTTCGTTCTCTCACGCGCTCCGCCTCCTCCTTAGCTAGCATGACTGCTTTGCAGAAGGAGGAGACGGCATCCCAGTCCCCCTCGCTTGGAGCCCTAGGGCACACAGTAATAAAATAATAACCTCTGATTATATTATAATGTCTAGATGGAGTGTCAGTTCACGAAAAGCGGCACAAAAATTTGCAGTTAACTGTTCACTGCAATGCACTTTCCCGTCAAGTAGTACCAATTGTGTCACCTAGGCTTCACTACGTGCATGCACGCTACAAAATAAATTTGTAAACAAAAAAAGTACACTGCAAAGTTGGCCAGATGCTCCATAATATTGCGCTAAAATTATAAATGATGGTTATAAAGTACTAAACAGATCACTTATTCATCGCTAAGTAATTAATAATTACATTATTCAATTTATGGTTTTGACACTAATTGCCGCCATATTTTACCAGTGTTGCCAATTTATTTTACAATATTCCCTTCCCATGGGCCTCATAAAGAGGAAAAAATTAAAAAAAAACTCACTTTCTTGTAAATTAAAAACAAAATAATATTTTCATTACCTCTATTTATTGAACTAACACTTACCTACGCTTTAATGTACTACCTATTTATCCTAACCGCCTAAAAAAGGAAGGTTCGTTTCGATTTTCGATAGTTATTCTGAAATAATTAAATCGATTAAGTTGAATCGGTTGCCGGGGCCCCGGCTCGAAGTGCAGGAGTAGGATCGGGGTGGTCTTTAGTCAGTAAGAGTCTGACACTCCCTCCCGCCTCACCCAGGCGGGAGAAGGCATTCGATGATTTTCCCCTCTTAAAAAAACTTACCTCTATATTCTTAATATTGGTTTGACAATATATACCTCCATAATTATAATATATATTTCCTAATTAATTTTAAATTAAATACTACATATTAGTAAAAAAAAAGATAATCTTGGTTTGTTTCGTTTTTATTAAACAATATTCTTGGTTCAATTAACAACAATGACTTTTTTATCTAATATTGTTATGATACTTACGGCTTATTATAAATAATAATAATATAAACTTATATCTTCTGATAAAATAAGTGGATCACAATGTCACAATATTTATAACTAATAGAAAATAACTGCCTCGTTGGCCGAGTGATTGCAAGTGCGACTACCGTGCAAGGGGTCTCGGCTTCATTTCCCGGGTCGTGCAAAGAATTACTGGGTTTAAAATACAAATTCTCATTAGTAGCACGGAGTCTGGAATTGTGCCTGGTATATGGCAATAAGCTCACTCCTATTACATGGGACTCATAACATAAATAGTGAAAAGTAGGTGTTACATTGTACAGTGGCATAATGTGCACCTCTGCCTACCTCATCGGGGATAAAAGGTGTGATACTATGTTATGTTATGTAGACAATGAAATGACAGGGTTGGCAAGGACGGCAATGACGGAACTGGTTAATGGGCTAGCATAATATCGCAGGATTGATTCTCATACGTTGCTTATTAATAATTATTGTAACAAGGTAATAATTCATTTGAATATTAAAAACAAGATTCAAATTCTTTTCGAAATAATGTATACCCAGCAGATATCAAAATCTTAAATCTTATCACCCGTAGCGCACCAGAGGGCGCTGCGGACGTTAATGGACGAACACTCGTTTTCGAAATCCAGATCCCACTTTAAGCTAACGATACATTCTCTGTTGGTTTGGACTTTTGGGCTATCAAGGTCTTCTTTAGTCTTTTCCAGAACATTGGTCTTTCGGACTCGTCTTTTGGCCAAACGATGTAGGTCTTTGTTAGCATCAGGTAGTGGAGAGTGTTCGGTCTTAAACGGCGTGGTATGTCTTCTAGAAGAATCAGTGTTAGGTCTTCTCGGCGCGTTTCTAGTAGTCTGAAAAGAATTTATTATTGTTTTTAGTATTTAACCCGTCGAGTACCGTCATTATAGACACAATTATAGAACAATAGGTTGCGGTCACCGGTGACCGCTTGGTGTTTGACAGTTTTACGAATATATTTCTGTTAGAAAGGTTTTCTTTGTTTTTCTTGTTGTATATTTGTAAGTAGATCTTTATTGCTTTTCTATGTGTACAATAAAAAATAGAATTAGCCAATTTGAATGAATTTTATGAGCATGTGCTCTTCAATGATAAAAACAAATCAAACACCATTGTTAAATATATTGAGAACTCTCCAAAGACCACTGTGGCCATGGAGTCTTTAACTTGTTGTTTATACAAACCTTAGCATTAAAATGGAAAAGAAGTATTAGTACAAGAATTATATAGTAATGATGCTGCCTCAACGTTAAACAGATATTGTGATTCTTGAGATTTTAGAAAAAAGTAAATCCTAATATGGGGATTATTAGGATTTTGTCCTGTGTCGTGGGTGCGTTTACAAACATACAAGTTCACATACACAAGACACCTAGACCCGGAAAAACAATCTGTGGATCACACAAAGAATTGTTCCGTGCGGGAATCGAACCCGCGACACGTTGCGCGGCAGCCAGCCATATTTTTCCAGCAAATTTTTAAGAGATAAGTACGCTGTTTGACGCTAAAAAAACGTGACGTCACAATACACAATCTCGTACAAAATTCATAGAAAACTGTCGTTTTTGACAGTTCGAAAAAAGTATTGAATTTGACTTGTTAGCAAGTACCCACTTAGCGGGCTCTTCTAAAACATCAAGATGTTTTAAGATGCTCACCTGTGTTGCGCGAGATGCATCTCAAATTGACACCACTGGCTGAGCAGGAACCTCTGTGAGAGGATCAGCATGATGGACCTGGAGCGGTCCATACAGGAGACTATATTCTCTAAGATTGAGAGGCCCACCTGGAAAATGAGGAGAAATATAGATTAGTGAGTTGGTAGTCTTGTAAGACTGCCTGATTTGATTGACTAACTAGTTCACTGTCATACTGACAAATAGGTTTTAGAAATTGTCAGTAATTTACTAGAAGTCTTCATTCTGATAATATGTATGGTCGTTGAGAATCATCCCTACATTAGAATGGAACTAAAAACAACTATATCATAATTATTGGGATTTTCATTTCTGCTCGTTGACCGCCGATTGCCTCGTTGGCCGAGCGGTCGCAAGTGCGACATCGAGCAAAGAGATCTCGGTTTCGATTACCGGAGTCAGGCAAAGTAATACTGAGTTTAAAAAAAATCTCAGTTGGAGTACAGAGTCTAATATTGTAGCCGGTATATAGCAATAGACTCACCCCCTATTACATGGGACTCGTAACATAAATAGTGAATAGTGGGTGTTACATTGTATCGTGGCATTAAGTGCTGTAATGTGCACCTCTGCCTACCCCTTCGGGGATAATAGGCGTGATGTTCTGTTATGTTCATTTCTATGTTTTTTCATAATAAGGCTAAGTCTGAATTGCGTTCTATGTTTCCTAATAGTCGTAATATATTCGACACAAAAGAAAATCATATAGGTATAGAGGTATAAGTGATAAAAATTTTTAATAGTAATAAGTTTATAGTGAGTAATTAAGTTAATAATGATTAGAATAAGTACATAATATATTATATGATTATTTAGTTATTATTTATAAGTTAAATTGCTGCGCCCTAACAGGGTGATGTACTGTACTAGTAGTATAATACCACTATGTATATACATTTTGCAATAAATGAATAAATAAATAAATAAATAAATAAATAAATAAATAAAGACATTTTGATTTCTACAACATTTAACAAACAAAATATTGTCTTCCAGTCTTCTTACTAAAATATTTATTTATTTATTTATTTTACCCTTTAATGCACACAAAATAAGGTACATAAGGCGGACTTAATGCCATATGGCATTTTCTCCCAGTCAACCTTTGGGTTAAATGTAAGCTCAGCGAAAATGGGCCTGTGTAATATACAAAAAAATAAATAAATAAATAACAAATAGTAATAATAAATACTGTATAACATACTGTATAAAAATATATAATAAACACAAAATATGTACATACATAAATAACTTCATACCTCTATATATAATTATAATCAATACATAGTATAAAACAAAGTCGCTAGCTAGTATGTATGCTTAGATCTTTAAAATTACGCAACGGATTTTGATGCGGTTTTTTTTAATAGATAGAGTGATTCTTAAGAAAGGTTTGTATGTATAATACATGCATATTGCACCCGTGCGAAGCCGGGGCGGGTCGCTAGTATAATATAAATTGACGAAGATATAAATTAAAGAAGACACGAACTCAGCGTTGTAGCGCCTTTAAATAGGCCTCACGAACACTACGTTTAAAAGCCATTTTGTTTGGAGCCATTTTTATACTATGGGGTAGTGCATTCCATAATTTAATTACACTAACTCTGAAGGAGTTAGAAACGAAGGAAGTGTGGTGAGACGGGATCTCTAGAAGCAAACTTTCAGCTGAACGGAGATTTCGGCTGTGAGAGCTGCCCAAAATCTGAAAGCCAGATTTTAGGTATTCGGGAGCACAAGGATCATTTAGAATAGAGAAGAGCATGCAGAGGGATCTAAGGGATCGCCTCTCACGGATAGGAAGCCATTTAAGCTGAGCGCGAAAGGAAG